CCGGCAAACCGTAGATAAACCGGAGATCAAAGACACGGTCCAAACGACAATTTACACGTGGATTAACCGAGAAACCAAATTGACGTGTGCGGTGGATGGTGTTCCTCGGCCAAATATCACCTTCACTCGAGCTGGAAGTGTACTACATTCTACGCCGTCTGAAGATGGCGCCAGTCAACTTAGAATTAAACCCGAGGGTGCCGCTGACTTTGGTGACTACACATGCACAGCAAAAAATCATCTTGGTTCTGTACAAAAGATCATTAAAATAAAGCAACTAGGTAAGAAACGTTACGAATGAAACCATCTTTGTAGAAGTCTTCTAAAGTGACTAGTTTGTTGTAAGTAACTAACCGTACCAAAGAAATCTTAGAGAGAGAGTTGGGTTGCATTCATCATGTTCCCTTGATTAGGAAATGGAAGCCTTATGGTGAGTGGAAAAAAGGAATATCCCATTTAATTTTTCCGAAAAAATCCCCCAAAATGGCTGGGGAGAGCAAAATTTAGGGAAACTTTCTTATTCATTGCGAAATGGTTTTCTTCGATTTCAAGATAAGCGTTTACTTTCGGTGCTAACAACTTGCACACTGTATAGTTGCACCTGCAGCACCAGAGGGACTGGAGATTGAAACAGGACTTCACAACATGGAAGTTCGTTGGCAGGCGTTAGAATCCACTCCTGATAGCCCTGTTGAAGATTATCTGGTAATTGTAGAGATGAGAGGTGAAGCCGAAAGTCGGAAAACCTGCATTCGAGTCCATACGGGTAAGCGGCATCTTACGTGTGCTGTAAACGATCTTGAGAGTGGGACGGTGTATAGCGTGAAGGTTGCAGCCCGTAACAAGGTGGGCTACAGCGAGTTCGCAGAAAAGGAAGTCCAGACAGAGACAGAAGCCAAACCTATAACCAACACAGGTAGGTTGCTATGAGAAGAGAAAATAATTTAATTATTATTTTACCGTGTAATGCAAAACATGTTTCTTCACTTGTTTTTGACCGAAAGCGAACGTGTATTTATTGTGTTTGCAGCAGTTGCTATAATTATGTTGCAGCCCAATCTGTGTGATCTGAATTTAGGGGAGAACTCTGTCAAAAGGCCCAGCTTTCAATCACTTAACATTCAAGACCTCCTTAAGTATATGTCAACTTAGCATATCAGGTTAATTGTAAAGTAACGAGATTATTTTAGATGAAGAGAAACACATCTTTTTTGGTGGAAAATATCACATATATTTCTTATTCTAGAACACTGAAATCTAGAGTGCTCAACTGAACTCCAAGTTAAACTTCATAACACTGCTTTATCGGTGTTAATTATGAATCTGAGACCGTCATTAAATGAACCCCAGAACAAAGAAAAGTTCATAGCTTTTCTCTCAATATCGTCGTTATCTTATTAACGGTGTTATTCATAGCAGACTCTGTTGTAGGAAACTTAATTTAGCATTTCCTTGACCCTTTGTTATATGCAATTATTTCACGATGGTAAGCAAACAAACTCTCTATTTCAGTAAAGAAAGAATTCCAGGAGCAACATCAGCAGGAACACTTGTCAAATACAGTCATTGATGGTATTATTGCAGGAGTTCTTATTTTCTGCAGTCTGGTAGTGGTAATTTTTGCGATTCTCAAACACAGGCGACCCTGTCATCCAGGTTAGTTGTCTCGAAGCTTTTCTTGACGAATATGAAAAAAATTGTGTAAGGAAATTATCCTCTAAGGAATTTACCTCACGTCGATGGTCGGATCTTAGGCCAATTTCTCTGAGAGTACTTTCCCGTGGAGCCTGCTCCAAATATACCCCAAGAGATAGTCAGATCTAAACAGATTATATCATCTTAGGGAAGTAACCAGTACTCGAAATCGGCGCAACAGAGTGACTGAATTTCGTTATGATGTGTAAATCTTTCTAATAGTTAAAAGGAGATGCGAGTTTCTTTTACTGAAGGCAGAGCATGAAAATAAAACCTTATGGAGTGTCTAATAAATGTCGAAAGTTCATTAAAAGCCGCTTAAGAGTACTAAGTCAGGAGAACCCTATCCCTAATCTTAACCACTACAGAGCAACCGAACTGAAGACTGAAACTGAAACTCGCCCAGTCAACATATTTCTAAGATAAAGGTGTAATGTTGTATAGTTTTAAAATAGTTACATTTACTTTTCTTTCAACTTCTCAGTATGCAAGAAGGAAAGCCAGGATTTAAGGTACAACCACATTAGCCTCTTACTGTAATTATCTATACCAGTGGGTAGTCATAAATGTATCACATCAACGTGCAATGAAGAAAAAGCCGGCTTTTCATTCTAAACAGCCTCTATTTGGCGTAAAAAAACTTACACGGATGTTTGTCCGCAGTCATTATCCCTTTCGAGAAGCTCACAGTTTTCCTCGAGCGATAAATTCGCGCTAAAGGAGGCTGTTGTTGATGTAACCTCCATTTTGCTTGAATTAATCTCGTTTGTTTGTTCATCTGCCAACTGTTCTTCAAAGCTCACAGTATCGTTTAGAGCAAATCTCAGAGAAAACAGTATAAGCCGAAAATTTTCCCTGAGCTTTGTTCTCACATGACTGTTCACTTCTCACAACAAATCGTGTCCGCAGACAAATCTTCGCACCTATTTCCGCATCAGGTGAAGCCTAGTGTCCGTGTAATTTACAATTGATCCAGTTGTCAGAGTGGGTCTTCTCTATGTCATTAGCGTAAGATGACCTAGGATCTGAAAATTAATGTTCATATCCACGCTATAGATGCCCGTATGTTTTGCAACGTATTCAAACTTTCATACCGATCCATCCTAAGAGTCATAAGATTAAACTACGAATTCTAAGGTTTACGTCGTGTCGCTAAGACTGACTACAGCTTTACGAATAGACTGATATGATTATTTACTTTATTACAAGCTCTGAGGAGTGCAACGAGGGGCATGATAATCCAGTATGCAGTTCCGAAAATCCGGTAGCAGATGAGATGAAGGTAAGTTACCAGAGCTAACTTGTATTGTTTTAAGCTAGATGGTTTGCTTCTCAGCTCCGATCTGGTAACTTGTGACGCGCATCTAATTAAAAGCATTCCGTTGGGACTAATAAAACACATTCTGTATCCGGAAATTGGGCTAATAAAACACATGTCCTGCTATTTACTAAGCAGCAATGCTCTACAAACAGAATATAAATCACGTGTTGGGCACACCATAGAGTCTCTGTGGCTTAGTGGTAGAGCATCAGAGCGCGGAATCCGAAGTTCTGTGGTTCGATTCCTCGTGGGGACTTAGAATTTTTCTTTGGCCAACGCTCGCGACAAGACGAAAAACATCTTTCTCTAGAACATTTGTTATTGCAAATTGGGCTAAATATAAACGTTAGCTTTGTTTGCTTGAAATGCGAAATAGTCTACTGAGAAATGTATAGTGTTCCTGTCTTACGTGGTTTGTGTTTATTTTTTCTTTTTTTTGGCAGGAACGAGTGTGAAGTTCATAGCCTGCATCAGCCCTCTCATTGAAGGGTGCA